CAAAGCACAGGGCCTGGCGCAGGGTAGGCCTTCCATAAGTGTTCCCTAAATTACTGCGGCAGGAATCTAAATATAGGCAATGAAAGATGGAGGACACCCAAACGGGGCTGGGGAGCTCAACGACCGCAAAGCCTCAGCACCCCCTACCCCACCCAGCATGTTGGGGGCGGGGGGCGCTGCGGGGGGAGAGGGGGAGGGGGAAACAAGTGCCTCGTGCCCCCTGCTGGCTCCTCCTGGGCTACCCTCCGCTGCCCTGGATAGAGAGGAACCACAACTCCCAACAGCCCCATGGACAGCAACCCTCTTACACCGAGGGCTCTTATGCCTCAAGGCCTTATGGGAGTTGGAGTCCTCATCCTCCCGAGACTGACAAGTTTTCCGGCCAAGGAATGTGGCAAGCCTGGGTCTCCTCCACGCCTCTGTAAAACCCCAAATGCATGACTGATCCTCTCTGCGCAAGGCTCCTTCCCTCGGGGATGCTCACCCAGGGCTCCATCGAAGAAGTAGGAGTCTGGATGGGAGACGAATAAGCTCCCCCTCCCAGAATAGCTTGCCAGGCAAGCCCCTCACCCTCGCTGACACATGTGTGTTCACATGTTGGAAGCAGAGCCCACACATTCCAACTGGCTCTCTGGGTACACCTGAACACAGGGGACCACAGCCAGGGAATCTAAGGCTGAGGGGCGGGCTAAGGGCAGCAGACAGGGGAAGGAAAGGGACAGACAGACATTAAGGACACTAGGCCAGAGTAAGTGAGGCACAAAAATCCCCTGAAACTCCAGGGAATGGGGAAAGCAGCAGCATGGGAGAAAGCCTGGAGCCCACAGAACTGGGGGGGGGGAAGACAAGCAAGTAGCTCTGGGGAGGGTGTGGGGACTCAGGACCTGAAGGTCCTCGAGCTCCAGTCTCTTGCATCCATTGCTCACACGTGCACGATGCATGTGTACACACATGTGTGAGTTTGTGGCAGGGAACATGTGTGTCCTCAGCTCCCTCCCCTGAGAAGCTGCAGTTCCCACTAAATATAACCCCCTCCCCAGCCTGTGACTCACCCGGACCCCGCCTCCCGGCCCCCACTTCCTGTCCCACCCCCCAACCCCCAGCTGCCTGCCACCCGCCCAAGCCTCCCTCCACACACCAGGCATCCAGCTTGCCAGTCCCAGAGTCTCACAGCCAAGACCTAGGTATTCTGCATCCCACCAGGAGCTCGCCTGTGCTCCCCATCCAAGATCTGCCCTTTCCAAGGCTCCAACCAAAGGGACACCCTCGTCCCGTCCTCGACCGCTGCCAGCCCTGCCTTCCTCCAACTCCTTTCCACCCGGGTAACCTGAAATCCAGGTGTCCTCCCCCACCTTGATCCCAAGAGTCAGGGGTAAGAGGAACATTCCCCTCCATCTGCTCTTCTCCCTCTTCCTCAACAAGGGGTGGATACAGTGTGGGAGGAGACAGGGATAGTGAGCACCTGCCTGGGCCACCCCCAAATTCTGCACCACCCACCTGGTCCCCCTCCTCAAATCCCCCCGTCTCGCGAAAGCGCTCCTCCTCCTCCTCCTCAGGGTCTGGCAACCTCCGCTGCTGCAAGCTTCTCCCTCCCATGGGAGTACCCCAAATCCTCACCTCACCTGGTCCATTCCCTCAGGTGATCCTATGTCAGGCCCTAGCCCTCTGACAACTCCCAACAGTCCCCATTCTATAAGATCGAATCCTAAATGACCAGCTCCCCGTAATTGAGCGTACCCCCAAACGTCTCTACCATGAGATGCTTGTTCTATAGGTTGAAGGCCCACCCCTTCTCTGCCCGCTGACACCCCCAGACCAGTCAGGCACTCACAACCAATAACCGTCTACCCCCATGCCAAGAGCCCCCTGAAATTGGACAAGACACCTAGAAGCCAGTTTGTCCCCCAGGAGGGTAGAGGACCCCCCTCACACAGTCCACCTTCTAATGTACAAGAGCAAGACTCCCCTGTGAGCCAGGCTTCTGCTTAAATAAGTCTCCCTCAAACATCGTTGGTGAACCCCAAAACCCATTAGCCCCCCCAAACCACAAAACGGCCCAAATTTTCCATTTCTCTACAGGTACAAAGGGCTCACTCCAGGGGGCACCTGTGGCCAAACCCAGCATTATCTCAGATGTGAACCCCAAAACTAAATCATGACCCCCAAATACATCTTCTGATGCTATCACTCCAGGGCCCCCAGCCAGAGATGAGGCCTGCCTAACCCCTCCCCACAAACTCATGCCCTCCTCCCAGTGTATAGCCCCCCCATCATGCTTACCTTGGTTGTCACTATACAGAGACAGTCCATGTTGGGGGGGCTGGCCGCGGCGGCGGGTAAGGGGCTCTGACTTCATCGGAGTTTCGTTCCTCCCCTCCGTGGGTTCTCACCCCTCCCCCCTCCGCACCCCACTTTTGCAGGGGGGGCCAGGATGGGGGGAGGGGTGAGAGGGGAAAGAGGGGGTTGGAGAAGGGAAGGGGAGGGGAGCGTGGGAGGGAGGGGAAGGGGGCCCTAAAAGGGGGTCCCCAATGGAGGGGAGGGGGCTTGGGGAGCACACCCCGATTCTCAGGAGGGGCGGGGGCACCGGGGGCTGGCAGCCCCGGAGTTCGGGGGCTGGGGCATGAGCTGGGGTGGGGGAGGGGAACTGGATTTCGGGGAGCCCCGGGGTAGGGGAGGGTCTTGCCTAACGGCCAGGGGCTAGGGGCCGTGGCGGGGGGAGTGGGGTGGGGGGGTCGGAGGCGGCAGCGGCCGAGGGAGCCGTGGAGCCGAGGAGGGAAGGGGAGAGAGGAGGAGAGAGGAAGCAGGGGGAGGGAGGGAGGGAGCGAGGAGCGCGGATGGGGGGGTGCCTTGGCCGAGTTAACTGCTTCGGTGCTAGCAGGAACCCGGATAACGGGAGAGGAGGGAAGTGCAGCAGCAGAGGGCCCCTGAGGCAAAGATGGAGGCCTGGCCAGGCACCAGCACACGGAACAGAGACCAGGAGGATGGCTTCAGTTTCTCAGGGCAGCGAGCACCCCGTAGTGGGGCCGGGAGCACCCATACTCCTTTCAGTACTGGGTGGGGGGGCTGGCAGGGGGCAGGGCCTGAGGGAGGGGGGCTGGCAGGAGGGGATCCCTGGGCGGGGGGCGAGTTCTCCCTCAGGAAGCCTGAAAAGTAATTCGGTCCTGGACTCTTTAGTGCCTGAAACTGGGGCCCAGGAAAGGGGGGGGGAGCAGGAGGAAGAAGGGGCTACAGGACGGGGCGGGGGGAGAGGGGGAGGAGACTCAGGAGTTTGTCCCCAGGGCCCCCAAGTCGTCAATGTGAGCTCAGCCGTCCAGCCCTGCCTGCCCGCTCCCTGAGGAAGCGGCCCCACCTCACCCCCTTACCTGGCTCTCCGAGATGGAAGTCTCATAAAAGTCCAGGATGTCTGTCACCAGAACAGAGCTGAGTTACCCTCCCCCACCCCTGCCGCCCCGGCCACCCCTGCCATCATCTCGCCTCCTGGTGTCTGGTGAGGGAGGAGCTCCTCCAGCCAGGACAGCTGGATCCTGATGGAGGACGGTCAGGACGACTGACCCCTGCCTGGACTCCTGCGTGCCCCCAAGTTCGCTCACTGCCCTGGCAGGCCCAGGCCAGCCCTTTCCACCACTGCCCCTCAGAAAATTGGGGCTACTCACCCAGCAAGGCCTGGAAGAGGTCACTGTGCAGCACGGTGAGGAGAGGGGGTGCCCATCGCAACAGTGGGGGGGCCAGGAGCCAGAGGGCTGAGCAGGGAGCTGGTGAAATGCAGGTGAGGGAGGAGGGGGTCAAGGAAGAGACAGGGGGCCCAACACATTCATCTTCCCCAGCCTGTGCCCTCTCGCCCCAGAGTCTATGGGAAGGTTCAGGAGAAGGGTCCCCGAATCCCAGCCCCCAGCCCACCCACCCCCCAGCCCCCAGGCCTTTCCTCCACGGGGCTCTCGAGTTTCACCTCTGGGTCTCTCGGACATCTCTCCCCTCTGACTTTAATCTCCCTAATCCGCAGGATTGGAGCTGAGCTGCCTCCCCACCCAGTTCTAGCTGTTAGCTGAAGTGGGCATTCCCATCCTTCCCTGGCTCCTCGCACGCTGGCCTCTCTCCCCAAAACCAGGGGTGAGTTTGCTACACTTCCCAGAGGAACTGGGGACGGGGGCCACCCCCAAGGAGGCCCCTGCAGCCCCAAAGGAAAGGCAGGTGAGCCCAGATCTCTCCTCCTGGGTGTGTCCCCGGTGAGGATGGCAGGGCAGAGGTATAATTTACCTGGGATCCCCTGACCTAGGGCTAGAGAAGTAGATGTGCGTGTGAGGGGTGGGGGTGGCGGGGAGGGGAGGGAGATGAGAATTCCTACAGTTCCTCTCGGGCTGGGAAGGATCCAGTATGTCAGCGATCTAGCCTGAGCACAGAGTCTTGGGAAGGAACAAGGGCAGAGAGAGACGTACAGGAAGATCTGAGGCCCTAAAGGGGAGGCAGTGAATTTGAGGAGGGGAGGAGGGTTCTCCTGTGAAAATTCAGGTGTTTCCAAAGTTAGTGACACCTCCTAGGTCTTAGAAGAATATGCTTGGGTCCCCGCTCCCCACCATGTGCCTCCTCTCCGTGTTGATGGAGACGTATTTCACGAGGGATCCCGAAGGGTTGGTTGTCTTTCCCTCCTTCTGCCTCTGGCATTTATCTTCCTTTCTTCCCACCTATCCCTTTGAACTCCACCGGGGAAGTCCTCCCTTCGGTCTACCCTCCATCCCTCTGGCCGCAGTCGCCTAAGCTCCTCCCTCTTCCGCCCCAGCCTATTCCATCACCCCTTCCGAGAGCTACACTCTAGTTCGGACGCGCGCGATGAAGGCGTTTGGGGGAGACGGGGACGTTTGGAGATCGCCCTAGGTCAACCAGAATGCAGGGGCGAGGGGGCGCTCCGGAACTACATCTCCCAGCATGCCCGGGAGACCGGAAGCCCCGCCCACCCGCCTCCCGGTGCATTGTGGACGATGAGTCAAGACAGGAGTTGGGCAGCCAGACTTTAGCGGACCGCCTGACCGCGGTAGGTCCGCGCTCGGGTCAGCTGCCGGAGCGGTTCGGAGATGCAGGCGGCCCGGATGGCCCCGAGCGTGGGGCGGCAGCTGCGGAGGCTGGGGCTCGGAAGGTGCGTGCGGGACAGGAAGAATGGGGCGGGGGCGGATGGCAGCGGTTCTGGGTACCGGGCCAGGACTGAGCCCCCTCTCCCCCCAGATCGCCGCCCCGTGCGCTCCTGTGGCAGCCCCCGCCCGGTCCGGCCCGCCGACCCTATGCCAGCGGGGCCGCTCAGGTGAGTGACGGCGGCCTGGGGCGCGTGGTGTGGGAGTGGGGGGGGGGTCCGCCTCGGCTTCCCCTTCCCCGCCGCCGGCAGGGGTCTCCCTCTCCGTCCCGGGCACCTGCCTCCCGGCCTGACGCCGAAAGTAGGGGAAAGGTCAGGCCAGGGTGCCCTGAGGATGGAACTAGGGGAAAGGTCGCCGCAGCTGTCCGCCGACGCCCAGCTCTAACACTGGGCTCTCCTTGGCTTTTCGGAAGCCCCTTCCCCGGCCTCACTAACTCTCCCTTTCCCCAGGCCGTTGTGGAGAAGTCCGATTCCTTCCCCCCCGAGGCTTCGACCAGGGAGAAACAGGCCAAGGCGGTATGTGGCCTCCAGGCCGGGAGGAGCTAGGCCAGGGGTTCACCCTCCCCAGCAGACAGCTCCCTGAAACTTCCTTCTCCCTGTGCAGGAATCGAAGTCCTTTGCTGTGGGGATGTTCAAGGGCCAGCTCACCACCGACCAGGTGTTTCCCTACCCGTCTGGTAAGGGGTAGTCAGAGCTGGGTGGGGCGGAGCAGGGCAGCGTCCTTCGGCGGCCCGGGTGACCTGACCATTCTGTTGCACGCCCTCCCCCACACAGTGCTAAACGAGGAGCAGACACAGTTTCTCAAAGAGCTGGTGGGGCCGGTGTCCCGTTTCTTCGAGGTGAGGAATGACTGGGGTGGGGGAATACAGGGCTTTGGTCCCCGATGGGGTGGGAGCGGTGTTGAACAGATTAAAAGGAGCCTGGATGCAGCGTCCTGTCCCTTCTCCAGGAGGTGAACGATCCTGCCAAAAATGACATGATGGAGAAGGTGGAGGAGACCACCATGCAAGGCCTCAAGGAGCTGGGGGCCTTTGGTCTGCAAGTGCCCAGCGAACTGGGTGGTGTGGGCCTCTGCAACACGCAGGTGAGGGAGGTCGTCGCCCCCCTGCCCCGCCCCGCCGCCCCCGCCAGGATCCCAGTCTACTGCAACTTTGGGGATTAAGCTCTTTTCTTACCTGACCCAGGATGCAGGTTTGTGAAGTAACTGCCCTTGTGGCCTCTCGGATGGTGACTGTACCAGTCCACACGCATTGTTCCAACAGAACAAACTAGGTTTCCAGACGTACACCTTTCCAGACACTGAGCTACATGCGTCCCTTAGGGCCATGGACCTCACCTAGGTTGACAAGTCCCAGTGGGAGGGACTGACAAATAGGGTAGGAAACTCCCGACCAGGCTCCCTCTCTACCACGAGGACATTTCCTCTCTCCAGTCACCGTGTGGGAATGCCCTGCCCTGTTGCTCGCACTTCCCTGCTAAGGCCCCCACAGGGCAGCCAGTAACAGCCCCGGAGGCCTGCTTTCCTCCCGCAGTACGCCCGCTTGGTGGAGATCGTTGGCACACATGACCTTGGCGTGGGCATCACCCTGGGGGCCCATCAGAGCATTGGCTTCAAAGGCATCCTCCTCTTTGGCACAAAGGCCCAGAAAGAAAAATACCTCCCCAAATTGGCATCTGGTGAGGCAGCCCCAGGAGACCCGGGGGGACTGGGGGTGTCCTGGGCTTGGTACAAATGAGGCTGGTGGTACGGAGGTCATCGCTTAGCTGGGCGTGTCGGTTGGGGGAGATTCTGGGAGGGCATCAGTGTGCTGGTCAGGAATCGTGAACCTGACTGTGGCCAGAAGCGTTGAGGGCTGCCTGTGGGCAGGGTGGGGACAGCGAGGGGCCTCTGATGCCCACTGGGACCCAGTTTAAATGCGCTCTCTCCCCAACAGGGGAAACCATAGCTGCCTTCTGTCTAACCGAGCCCTCCAGTGGTTCCGACGCAGCCTCCATCCGAACTTCAGCCGTGCCCAGCCCCTGTGGGAAATATTATACCCTCAATGGAAGCAAGATTTGGATCAGGCAATCCTCCCCCGCCCCCCGTCTTTGTCTCTTCTCCACCTCCTCCCAGTTTCAGGCCCCACTGCTCTGTCCCCCGCACCCTGACTGCCCCTCATTTTTCCATAGTAACGGGGGCCTGGCAGATGTATTCACGGTCTTTGCCAAGACACCAGTCACAGACGCAGCCACGGGGGCCGTGAAGGAGAAGATCACAGCTTTCGTGGTGGAGCGGAGCTTTGGAGGTGTCACCCAGTGAGTGGGTTTGGGGAGAAGACGGAAGCGGAGCCAGGCTGGGGCACAGCACTGCAGTCCAGGGCAGGTGGTGTCACAGGTCACCCTGGGGATGTGCCCAAAACCCAGAGCAGCTGGATGGCATGTTCTCTTTGGGATTAAGCTGCACAGAACTAATACAAAGCTTCGGCTCCTGCACCCAGTGAGCCGAGCGTCTGGCAGGCTGGAGAACCAGGTGTCCTTATTCCCCAAGCGTGCCCGGCCCTGCTGCCTCCACCTCCTCCTGTGCCGGCAGCTGCAGTACCTCCCCGGCTCCCACAAAATGACCCCCACCCCATGGCAGCTTGCTAAGCACACCTCTGCTTCTCTACCCTGCCCTGTCACAGTGGGCCCCCTGAGAAGAAGATGGGCATCAAGGCCTCGAACACGGCAGAGGTGTACTTTGACGGAGTACGGGTGCCGTCAGAGAACGTGCTGGGCGAGGTGGGGGGCGGCTTCAAGGTCGCCATGCACATCCTCAACAATGGAAGGTTCGGCATGGCTGCGGCCCTTGCGGGCACCATGAGGGGCATCATTGCTAAGGCGGTGAGTGCTCTGCTTGAGCTCCAGCTAGCCGGAAGCGAAGTCACCCTGTCCCTCCCCTCCCAGCGGGCTCGGGTCTCTGTGTAGCCTGTTCCTCTCCTGGCGGGGAGAAACTACAGAACCACACTGCGACACACGGGCCCTCTTCCAGGTGGACCATGCTGCTAATCGTACCCAGTTTGGGGAGAAAATTCACAACTTTGGGCTGATCCAGGAGAAGCTGGCCCGGATGGCTATGCTACAGTACGTGACTGAGGTGAGGGTCCACCCACACCCCTCTCCCCAGAGCCCCGTGGCCTTCCTCCTAGTCGGTCAGACTACAACCCCCAGCAGCACCTGGGGCAGTGGGTCTCCAGCTTTACACCAATGCCCTAGGGGATGCGGGGAGGCGTAGTCAGCTCAGCCGCTGCAGAAGGGGGAGAGCCGTGTCGTTCTTCCACAGGTCCCCGAAGTTGATCCCACCTGCACCCCCCTCATTCTTTCACCCCTTCCAAAGAAGTCCAATACCTAGAAGCCCCCAAAGAGCTGGCTCAGGGGACCAAGTACTTCCCCGTGCCTGACAGGTGGAGCTAGGTGGTGAAGGCAAGGGCCTTGAGAAGTAGAGCAGACCTGGTCTTGGGAGCTTTGGGCATTCGGGGTGAGTCTGATACTGTCCTTTTCTTCCCACGTCTCAACCGTGCAATCTCAGTCCATGGCTTACATGGTGAGTGCCAACATGGACCAGGGAGCCACGGACTTCCAGATCGAGGCCGCCATCAGTAAAATCTTTGGCTCGGTGAGGTCCCCAGCCTACAGGGCGGGAGAGCCCAGGGTGGGAGCTTGGCTCCAAGACCAATCTTACGTGGTTCTCGGTCCCCAGGAGGCAGCCTGGAAGGTGACCGATGAGTGCATCCAGATTATGGGCGGCATGGGCTTCATGAAGGTACAGGATGGCGCTCTGCCTGGGGTGGCCACTGCGGAAACAGGTGGGGCGGGCGCCGCTCAGCAAGGCCGTGTGTTCTGGCTTCCCCTGTGGCAGGAGCCTGGGGTAGAGCGTGTTCTCCGAGACCTTCGCATTTTCCGGATCTTCGAGGGGACCAACGACATTCTCCGGCTGTTTGTGGCTCTGCAGGGCTGTATGGTAAGAAGAACTCGGGGGAGGAATTAGGGAGAAGAGCACGTCCTGACTGTTAGGCTCTTTTCCCACGCAGGATAAAGGCAAGGAACTTTCTGGAATTGGCAATGCTCTAAAAAATCCCTTTGGGAATGCCAGCCTCCTGCTAGGAGAGGCAGGCAAACAGCTGAGGAGGTAAGCCTGAGCCGAGCTGGGTTGGGCAGGGGCGGGCCGGGGCGGGCCGGGGTGGAGGTGGTGGTGACTAACCGGTCACTCTCCCCCTTCCTCAAAGGCGGGCAGGGCTGGGCAGTGGCCTGAGTCTCAGTGCTGTCATCCACCAGGAGCTGAATCGGAGCGGAGAGCTGGTAAGCAGTCGGGGTGACGGGGGACAGCAGTCTGTGTCGGGGGGCAGGTGCGGCTGGGCCCTCTGAGCCCTGGTGCCTTTCTTCTCTATTCAAATAGACAGTGAAGGCTCTGGAGCAGTTTGCCGCTGTGGTGGAGGCCAAGCTAATAAAACACAAGAAGGGGATCGTCAGTGAGTGAGCCCTGCCCCGTCCCCACCTTTCTCTCCTTTCCCTTCCTCCCTCCCCCCCAACCCCCAGCTTCCACCCGCTGACCCCGCCCCATCTACCTGACAGATGAACAGTTCGTGCTGCAGCGCCTGGCAGACAGTGCCATTGACCTCTATGCCATGGTGGTAGTTCTGTCCAGGTGAGGCGGCGGCCAGGGCAGGGGGAAGCGGCCCGGGGCGGGGAAGGCAGCCCGGGCAGCGGCAGGGGCGGCGGGGTCCCGGGCCAGGCTCATGGCCCAGGTTTGTGTTCTCTTTCTGCTTGGCGCCAGGGCCTCAAGATCCCTGAGCGAGGGCCACCCTACAGCCCAGCACGAGAAGATGCTCTGTGACAGCTGGTGTATCGAGGTGAGATTCGGCGTTACCCAGGGCAGGCGGGGGTCACAAGGCATGGGCCTGAACCCCTCGTCCTGTGTCCCCAGGCGGCAGCCCGGGTCCGGGAGAACATGGCTGCTCTGCAGTCTGACCCACAGCAACAGGAGCTGTTCCGTAACTTCAAGAGCATCTCCAAGGCCTTGGTGGAGCGAGGTGGCATGGTCACCAGCAACCCCCTGGGCTTCTGACCGCTCCCCGCCACCAGGGCCTGGCCTGGCACATGCCTTCTTGAGCCCAGCGCCCCCCACAAGTCCTGGTTCTGCCTTAAAGAGGGCCTGGCCCAGCGCCCCGCTGCTCTCACAGCCTCACTCTGCTGGGTCTCCTCTTGGCCTCGCTGCCTGCCTCCCTCCCAAAGAAAGGAGCCAGAGGCGTGGGGAGTTTGCCCCTATTGCTTTATTTGGTTTTATACAAGAGACTAAATAAATAGAGTAACAAAAGCAGCTACGTGGGCCCCCAATACCGAACACCCCAGCTTCCTCTGACTGCTGGCTAGGGTGCCCACCCCCTTCCTCCTCCCAGCGTACCGCAGCCCACCCCCCGCCCTGCACAGGACACAGCTGATGCCCGGGGCGGGCACAGCAGGAGGTCACATTTTGGGGTTAGAAGAAGGGGCCCGGGACACAGGGATTCTTCATGTAAAAAGGGAAGTGTCTACTGAAAAAATAGTCCAAAAAATGTACGAAAGTCTATTTCAACCCCCCCCCAAAAGACTTATAAAAACAGTAAAGCTAAAAATAACCAAAGGTCCCTTATAGACCCCCGAGGATAGGGGAGGGACCAGGCACTGCCGGTGAGTCACAGTGGCAAGCCCCTCGGCCGGCAGGGGTCCCTCGGCCGGCAGGGGCCAGACAGGACAGGCTGAAGGAGGAGATCCTGTACGCTCTACATAACATCCACAAAGAACTCACTGGGGTTGCCCATGGCCATGTGGAAACTTTGGCGGCTTGCTGTCAGCTCTGGGGGCACAGAACCCAGGTCTCTGACCGGAGGGGCCCCCGGGGGCTGCACGGCTGGAGGGACGGGGGGTGGAGGTGGGGGCATCATGACCACCATCATGGGATTGTAGGGGAGGGCCATCCCCGGGGGCGGTCCGTAGGGATGGAGCCCAGGATGGGCTCGGAGATTGGGAGCACCGCCTGCCGAGCCTCTGGAAGGGGGAGGGCCCCCGTCAGCCCCGCCGGGATCCCCGCCCCGCCGGAGGCTGCCCCCGCGGCTGGAGGGCTCGGACTCACTGCCGCTGCCGGACTTGGACTCGGGGGCCCGCTCGTCAGGCCTCCCTGGGCGCCCTGCCCCCCCATCGCTTCGCGTCGACCCACTGCTCCGGCTCCCTGTGGGGGTGGGTGAGGGGTGCGGCCGCCTGAGCCCTGGCCCAGCATCCCTTGGCCTCCCGGAGCCCCCCATGGGCCGTCCCCAGGCCCGGCGCGTACTGGCATGGAGGGACAGTGACTTACCCTCGCTGTGCTGGCTGCTGGCACTGCCACCTCCGTAGGTGTAGGACGAGAGCTCGTGGTAGGGCGGCGGCTGGGGGCTGTACGGGTGCGGGGCCGGGTACTGGTATGAGAAGGCGGGCAGCAGGGGCCAGGGGGTGGCCCCAGGCAGAGGAGCCAAGGTGTCCTGGTCCGATGCCCCACTGGAGCCGTCGTCATTCAGGGACAGGCTGACGAGGTCTGGAAAGCAGGAGAGGAGAGCGAGAGTCACTGCTTCAGAGGTGCCATTTCCCCAGAACCATCCCCGAGGGCAGCGAAGACGAGGGCCTCCGACAGGAAACTCCCCGTGGGCCCCCGCCGCCAGGGCACAGCTCGTCCAGGGCCATGAGTCCCACGCGCTCGGCTGCGGAACACGGCTGGGGGTCGACAGCCAGGGCAGGGCCTAACACAGGACACGCTGTGCGACCGTCCACAGCAGCCCTGGCTGGCTTCCTGGCTAGGGGTGCGGCTGGAGGGGCAGGATGAGGTGGCGGGGACAGAGAGACTCACAGCTCTCACAGCCGCCGCTGAGATCCCCGAAGACGTAGTAACACTGCTCGGAGAAGGTGATCTTGTTCACGGTGTGCCGGATGAGGCCCGCCTTGAGCAGCCCACTCGCATACTTGCGGGCCTCCCGCCGCTCGGGAAAGCCTTCCACGTGATGGTAGAGCCAGTCAACCACGTCTGAGCCTGGGAGCGCCCAGAGCAGAGAAGCGCTCAGTTCTCCTCCCGGACTCCTGCCTCACCCCTGCCTAGGCCGTTCCCGGCTGGTGCCTCCTCCCATCCCTCCCTTCCTTCCCATACCACCCATCCAGGACCCAGCCATACCCAGAAAGGCATTAGGGATGGTGATCTTGAGCCACATGCGGTCCCGAACTTCCAGCCCAGACTCTGGAGCTGCCATGGCCTTGGTCACAGATGCCATGTCCGTGTGGATGGAAAGACCCTGGCCTTCACAGCCTGTCCGGGAAGAAACGGGTCCGAGGTAGGGCCCACTGCCAAGCAGCAGCGGGCACAGCACCGGCGAGAGGCCTTCCAGGGAGGGGCCGGTGAGGTGGGCTGGGGGCTCACCCTCAGGCAGAGAGGACCCCGACGTCATGGTGCTCATGGACGAAGAGCCGGGATAGGCCGGGAAGGTGCCAGTCAGCGCAGCGGAGTGGGACACCCAGGCAGCAGGGTCGATGGGCTGGATGGGCTCATCTGGGACAAAAAAGGCCCCTGCGATGATCATTTCCCCGCCGCTCCCTGACTCAGACTCCCATCCCACCTCTGCCCTGACCCTCCTCCACCAGCACTTCCTGCCGCCCGGAAGCCCAACCCCGGCTCCCCAGGCTGCTGACCCCGCAGCACTCACTTCGAGGAAGAGTGAAATAGGCCTGGGGAGAGGGATCCCAGCACTTGGCCACCGTCAGCACGATGGGGCTGTGGGGAGGGGGGAAGCAGTCACGCAGGGGTGGTGCAGGGGGGGCGGGGCGAGGCCTGGGGAGGGGGGAGGGCAGAGGAACAGGACAGAGCAGAGACCGCAGACGGGGCTGGGCTGCAGGGCTGAGGTGAGGAGGCGCCAGCACAGGGGACCCAGTGACACCGACAACTCTAGAAACGCCACGGACAAGTGCGAGGGAACACACGGTCAGGGTCCCTCCGGGGCCAGCCCGGGAACGGGCGCTCAGCCACGCTGTTCGGGGACGGGGATGGCCACGCGCATGCACACCACACACAGGGGCAAGACCGCGCAGAGCACACACAGAGCTGATGGACGAGGGCAGGACGGCAGCCCCCTCCAGAGAGAGCGGGAGGGGACTTCGGAGGCATCCAGGTGGGCGTCTCGCGGGCACACCCTCGCCCCATGGGGATGTGTCACGTTCCGCGGCTGTGCCCCGCATGCTCCCCGGACCCGCGTGACGTCATGCCCCTGCTACCGCGCAGCCGGGCCCGGGAGAGCAGACGAGAGCACGGGGCCGCCGGCTCACCCCGGCTTGTGCACGATGTCCCGCAGCACGCGCACCGCGTCGTCGTTGCTCATGTTCTCGAAGTTCATGTCGTTCACCTGGAAGCCGGGCCAGCGGGTCAGAGGCGGCCGCCGGGGCACACACCCCGCCGCCCGTGGCCCCGGCGCAGCCCACCTGCAGCAGCATGTCGCCCGGCTCGATGCGCCCGTCGGCCGCCACGGCACCCCCCTTCATGATGGAGCCGATGTAGATGCCGCCGTCACCACGCTCGTTGCTCTGGCCCACGATGGAGATGCCCAGGAAGTTGTACTTCTCTGCAGAGGGCGCGCACGTGACGACGGGAAGCCCGACCGGCGCGCGACACCCCCGCCCCCCCGGACCTGGCCCCGCGCCCCCTCGTACCCATGTTCAGCGTGACGGTGATGATGTTGAGAGACATGGTGGAGTCGGTGACGCTGCTGAAAGACGAGGCCTGTGGGGGACACGGGGTAGGAGCTGGGCTGCCTCTGACGACCCAGGGCCGAGCCCCAGAGTCTCACTTCCTGTGCCCCCCGGCCCTCTAAGCCATGGCCTCCAGCTTCTCCAAGGTCCAGCTGTCCCACGACAAGAGCCCCTCACCCTCTCCAGGCGCGGCGGCCGCTGTTTCCTCCGCCGCCGGTGGCGCTTGAGGAGGCGGGAGGCACTGCTCTGCTCCGTGGAGCTGCTGAACCTGTCAGGAGGTAAGGGGAGCTCACAGGCAGACGAGGTTTGGGGCGGGGCGGGGGGGGGGGCGGCCCGCGGGCGGGAAGTGAAGGGGCGGGGGCCGTACCTGCTCATGGTGTCGTCCTCGTCTGAGTCCCCCAGGCTGGTGCTCTCCAGCTCGCTGGTCATGAGGGTTGAGGAGCTCTCATACCCAGCCAGGTGGCGCTCCAGCCTCGACGGGCCACTGGGCCTGTGGCCCCCCGCTGCGTGCGAACGGGAACCTCAGGAACCCAGGCCTCGGGCTGCTTCCCAACATCGCACCTCGGACCGAGCCCTCCCCAGCTCCCGGCGCACCCTCGGGGGCCTGCCCCCCTCACCGCCATGCTCACTGCTGTCTCTCCTGCGAGGCCGTTCCCGCCGCACTGACACGACCGACTCTGTCTCAGTCTCAGGCTCCAGGTTTTCCCGGCTGCTGGACACATTAGGGCTGGGTGGGCAGAGACGTGTCAGGGGGACAGGGCTTCAAGTCCTCAACTGCCCCCCCCCAGGGGGCTTGAGTCCCCTCCTCACCTCCCTCCCCTGGACTCAAGAATCCCAAAGACTCACTGGAAGGACGGAGGCCTAGAGTCCCCAATGCCGCTGGTCCTCTCTGGGGGCAACGGGGGTAACGGTGGGGGCGGTGGCGCCAGTTCGGTCCGAGGCTCGTGGGCTGGGGGAGCCATCTCGGGTTGGGGGTTATCTGATGACACTAGCTGGAAAGATGCAATGACAAAACCCAGCTCAACCAGGAAGGGAGACGTCTGAGGCGGGAGTAAGGGACTCGGGGACAGGACAGGGTCTGAGCGAGTACACGGCCGGGGGAAAGCACCGAAAAAGCAGGAGCAAGCAATAGAGGCTCCAGAAGGCTGAAGAGCTCCAGCTGGCTCTCCAAGCAGGTGAGGCAGCAAGGAGCCAGGGCCTCCAGCTCCTGGGCAGGGGGCAGACCGAGGCTCAGAGGAGTGTGGCGGATGCAGGAGGGACGGAAGCGCTCACCCAGGACACCACCCTTCCATTGAAGCAGGGCAGGCGGGCGTTGTCATCCGAAATCTCCTCCTTCACCACCCTGCCGAGGGACAGCACGCAGGCCAGTGAGAATGGCCTAGCGCCCCCCACATGCACCCCCATTCAAGGCTTCTCCCGATCTTTGTCCAGGTCAAGGACGTT